CCGGAGGACTTGCGAGTGCAGTCGCGTGCCTGGGCCCGGTAGCGAGGGAGAGCCACGAGCACGTCGCCATGGCAACGGGCAGCCTCCGCGCGGTAAGGGAGGGGCGAGGGGAGAAGCGCTGCGTCAGGATCAGGGTGCGGGGCTCCCCGGGGCAGGGTGCCCGTCTCCCTGGCGGGGTGCGGAGCTGCTCTGGGGCATGATGCCGAGTTCCCTGGCGGGGTGCGGAGCTCACTGGAGGGGTGCAGCAGGACCCGCAGTAGTTCTGCCCATGCTCTGCTCCCTGTGCTGCACTTTAGAGTAGAGCCGGTGCTGGTGACTGCGTGCGTTTTGGGACGGGGCTTCTTGGGGGTCCACAAGCTGGCAGTGTGGAGGACAAACAGGCAGAGGGTAGAGGCGGTGAATGTTTCATGTTAATTCTCTTCAGGATTTGTACTAAGAGTTGTAGAGGAGCTGTGGTAGCCCGAGCTATGTAAGGTGTCACGAGTACTATGCTTACTTCCTATTCAGGGTCTCTACACATCTTGCACTCCACAAATTAGTATCTTGTGCATTAAATAAGTTATAATCTTAAAATGCCACTTTTATAGAGAATGGTCGTATGCGTGTTTCTAACTGGGACCCATAAAGCTCAATCCTCAGCCCAGTGCTAGCATTTCGTCAACAACCACATGAAAATTTTTCTCTGAAGTGTATTTTGTTGGTGTTGCCTTTTAGGTGATTCCTGTCGTACCTGAAGTAGCCAGTCCTAGCTGCTGCAGTTATAGTGCGGGATACAGTACATTATGATAGCTCCTATATTTCTATTTGTATTCTAGATGTGTGCAGTTTCTGCAGAATCAAGGTTTCCTTTTCCCTTTTTGTAGCTGTTCAGCATTTTGTTGATCTTGTCTCATCTCTGGGATCTGGAAATGATGTTTTGATTTAGTTACAGGTTAAGACTTACAGAGAATGCTAGCCCTGGCACTTCAGATCCTGCAGGATTTCCAATTATACTAGCATCCTGAGACTTATGATGGAACAAAACCCATGGCAGCAAGTTGGGGAGTGACCATGGAACTCACTGCATCCAGCCGTCCCAGGAAGTCCTTTCCAGTCCTACATTTCTATATCCATAACAATCTTCTGTGCAAGCCGTGTGAGAAGACACTGAAACATGAACTGGACACCTAGGGTTTAAGACAAGAACACGAGCATGTGTGTTGCAGGAAGAGAGTGTCCATACCAGATTTCCTTGGTAAAGGATGAGAAGGTGGTGTGCAGCCGTTCTTGGGTCTGTGTGTCCAGTCCCTAGCTGTCACAGATATAAAATCCTGTAATCAATCATCATTTTGTCAGACTCCAGTTTAGAAGCAGATGGGATTTTTGCTTCTATGTCCTTCTTAGTTTGGAAAGATGTTTTGGAGCCTGGTTGCTGTAATAGCTAGAAATCTCCTCCAGATTTCTTGTTGCATATATTAATGGCCAATTTATATCCCTTTATTCTTGATTCACAGTTAGTCTTAATCTGAAATTGTTCCTTCCTGGCACTGACTCCAAGTGTACAAGCAGATAGATTTATCACCTCTTGGTCTGTGTTTTGCCAGACTAAGGCTAGCTAAGCAAGTTCTGCTAGTGGGAAGTAGAAAGCTTTCAAATACATTTCTGAGAGGGGATGGATGCTGTGTGCAGAGGGTATGCTGTCACAGACCTGGCACTTCCCTCTGGGTTGGACATCTTCACAGGCTGACGGCAGGGGGGGCGGGGGAGTGTGCATGCTTCTTCCCTGGCATGCATGGGCAACCTTCCCCTGCCTGGTCTCTCCTCCCACTCCTCTGAAGATTCCCCTGGGGCTCTGCACGACATTCAAAGCTTGTGAGGAATGCACAACTCACCCCAAATAACAGAAAACACATAGCAGAGCAGCACAGGCATCTAGGGGCCCCATGCTGCTCCCACCCCCAACTGGGCGGGCGGTCTGAGGAGGGGGGAGTACATAATGAAAAGCATTTGCTGCAGCAGCTATCTATAGTCTTTTGTGTTTGGGAGTGGGCAAGGGACAGGCGTGGCCCTGCCTGCCTGACCTCAGAGTTGACGTCAGAGAACCCCAAATGAATAACAGGGAGTGCTTCAGAAAGAGAAGCACAACCAGGCTACCCAGGATGGAAGGTGAGACATCAGTACCACTAAGCAAGAGAAGAGATAAAATAGGAGGTACTGTTTCCCACAGAAGGGTACTCTGTGTCCACAGTATGAAGACTCTGGCTTCAATTCAGGTTGGGCCAAACAAGTTTGGGTCTTTCTGTGTGCTGACTCAGCAACTCAAAATCTGCTTCTGATCTACTATAAGCATTTTCCCTTACCTGTTCTGCTTCCTTAACCGCTTGGATGCATGCTGAAGGTTATCTGTTGCAGCATGGTCTCTGTATCAGCTTGCAC